TAAAAAATAAATAAATAAATAACTATGTATTGTGACATACAATGGAATACTACTTTGCTGTAAAGAGAAATGAAGTCCTGATACATTTCATAATATGCATGAGCCTTGAAAACATTCTACTGTATGAAATTAGTCAACCACAAAAGGACAAATATTGTATGATTTCACTAATATGAAATACCCAGAAGACACAGGTATAGAGATTAGAGTTTAGTAACAGTTACCAGGGGAGGGAGAGAAAGGGAAAAGGGACATCATTGTTTAGGTAGCACAGAGTTTTTCTTGTGGGGATAGGAAATTTGGCAATGGATAGTGGTGATGGTGCAGAACATGATTAATATAATTGGTTTAATTCGTACACATGAAAAATGTTGAACTGGTAAATGTTGTGTTCTTTATATTTTGACATCAGTAAAAATTTTTCAAGAAATACATATTATGATAGGTTCCAAGAGTCCCTGGGAGGTACAAACAATTAAGTGTGTGACTACTAGCTGAAAGTTTGATGGTCCAAGCTACCCAAGGCTCCTTGGAAGACAGGCCTGATGATATTCTTCCAAAAGGTTTAGAATCCGAAAGATTCTAATGATGAGTTAGAGTCAACTCAACAGCAGCTAACAACAACAACCACTTACACTCATGACAGATTAAGACATTATTATAATAGGTTCTACCAAGAAGAATAAGCCAGAGGGTCCCAAACAGTAAGCATTATAATAAAGATTAAGTGAAAAAATATATATGAGGTGCTTAGTGCAGTGTCTGGCATATAGAAAGTGCTCAATATATTTTAGCTATTATTAGTAAGATTATTTTACACATGCTGCCTTCATGCCAATTAAGGATTGCTTTGGCTCAAATCTATACTTGCAGTGCTTTACTTAATTATCATTAAAGGGAAGTAATTGGAAAAGATGCATTTTAATCTGATGGAAATCAAGATAGATTCTTTGCTTAACAAAGCTCTGCCAGAGTTTAGTTTTCTCCTCCATTCCCGACCCTATTTCTAATGGCATAAACCAAGGCCTGGGGAAGAGGAGAGATTTTAGTGTAGAAATGCAAAGAAAAGCCCAGTCATCTCCCCGCCTAATGAGAACTCTGGTGGTGTGCATGTTAATAGATTGCCAGAGTTGGTGGAGCAGGGAGTTTATACATTTATGTGTGTATATTTCATGCCTGGCTAAGCAAACACATTTTTCATGTGTACCCTGTTGAGCTGCTTCAGACGATGGCCCATGAGAAAAAAATACAACCGTTTTGAAATTCTCATTGCACCCATAGGTTGAAACCTCCCTCCTTTTCAGTGATTCAATGCTGATCTCCTGTCTCAGATACCAGGCTGACCTTTCTTATGAAATGGTTGTCAGTGGAGACAGAATTTGCTGGAGAGAAGCAATTTGTTACCTGGCTCCAGCCAGATTTTTTTTTTTTTTTTTTCAGGAGCAAGGACTTTGGAACAAATGAGGTTAAAGATCCTGCCCTCTTTATAGTGCGCCCCAGCCTCGCTGGCTATAAGTCCAGTTGGGTCACAAGACTTGCCTATTACCAGATTCAGAAAAAAACATAAACAGATTCAGCTTTTTCTGGTCCTTACATTGCTTAGTCTTTGCAAGTACTGGGAGGTATAAATTTAAAAGGGTACATTAAAAGGTAACTATGAGAGCATCAAATGGCACTTCAACCCTGCCTGTGGTAGTGACTGACCAGAGCCCTGCTTTGCCTGGAATTGTGTAAGCTGTAACTTAGAAAGATTGCTTTGATTTCAACCCAGTCTCTCAAATGTCCTATAATCAGGAGAGTGGGATGCAGGTGGGAGTAGAGTTCATACACATATATGAACTGGATAGAATGAAGAAGGCTTTCTTTATACAAGCCTAGTTCCTTTATAGGAGCTCTGGTAGCATAGTGCCTAAGGCACTTGACTGTTAACCAGAAGGCTGACATTTCAAACCTATTAGCCACTCCTCAGAAGGAAGGTTGCCTTCCGTAAAGATACCGCCTCAGAAACCCAAGGAGGGGTCGCTAAGAGTCAGGTCTGACTCGACGACACAAATCAACAACAATAACCGTTCTTTTATGAGGTGCTCTGATGGTATAGTACTTAAGGCATTTGGCTGCTAAGCAAAAGTTGATGGTGTGAACCCACCAGCCTCTCCACAGAAGAAAGATGAGTCAGTCTGCTTCTCACAGTGGGTTAGTTCTTCTATGAACACAAACCAAAAAACCAAACCCACTCATTGTCATCAGAATGGATGTGTTTAACATTCCCTTCTTGAAACAAAGCCTGGAGCATCAAGCTGATAAAAGTTCTCTGCTTTTCTCATGTACCTGAATATCCTGTCATTAATGTAAATTTTCTATCTTGGAAATGAGCTCATTACACGCAGTAGATAGAGTGCTGCCTTTCCCACCATTCCATTTATCTCACATGATAGTGGAGCCAGTGACCCAGTGCACACAGAAACACTGTACAGTCAATTCAACATCTTTCTGTGGATAAGCTGGGGGCGTTAGCTCCATTTCCTTGGCAGGCTATGCTCTCAACTCTGTATAATTATTTGTTTTGTCAACATCTCATAGGCTCTGTTTACTTTCCTAAAAAGGAAATCTATTTGAAAACCATCTTTATGAGTTTTAAGACAGGAACAATTCTTCTTGCTTACACAGATATCCACATTAATCTCAGGGAAAAAAAAAAAAAAAAAGGTCTTTTTTCATAGGACCTAGTATTTCTAGCACTACCCCACCATCAGCACCATCACCACCAGCTAGGAGCATTTTCTTTTTTTTTTTTTAGTATCTATTATGTGCTAGACACTTAATGTATGTGACCTTATTCAGTCTTCACTAGCAGCCCTGTTGGTGCAAAGTTTAAGTGCTCAGCTACTAACTGAAGGTTGGCAGCTCTAACCCACACAGTGGGGCCATGGGAGAAAGTCCTCCTCATGATCTGCTCCTGTAAAGAGTACAGCCTAGGACACCCTAGGGGGCAGTTCTCCTCATATCACATGGGCTCGACAGTAGCTAACACCAAGTCAGTGCTCACAATAATCCAGTGAGGAAACTGAGACTCAGAAATTACATGAGGTTTCTGGAATGACAGCAATAAATGAGAGCCTTGTTTTTGTTGTTTGGCACCGTCAAGTAGGTTCTGACTCACAGCAAGCCTGCATACAACAGAACAAAACAATGCTTAGTCCTGTGCCATCCCCACAATATTTGCTATGCTTGATCCCATAGTTGCAGCAACTGTGTCAATCCATCTTGTTGAGGGTGTTCCCCTTTTTCATTGACCCTCTACTTTAGCACACATGATATACTTCTCCAGGTACTGGTCCCTTCTGATAACATGACCAAAGTCAAGAGACAAAGTCTGGCTATTCTTCTAAGGAGCATTCTGGATGTACTTCCTCCAAGACAGATTTGTTCATTCTTCTGATAGTCCGTGGTACATTCAATGTTCTTTGCCAACACTACGATTCAAATGCATCAATTCTTCTGCAGTCTTCCTTATTCATTGTCCAGCTCTCACATGCATATGAGGCTATTGAAAAGATCATGGCTTGGGTCAGGTATACCTTAGTCTTCAAAATGATGTCTTTGCTCTTAAACATGTTAAAGAGGTCTTTTGCAGCAGATTTGCCCAGCGCAATATGTCATTTGATTTCTTGTCTGCTGCTTCCATAGGCATTGATTGTGGATCCAAGTAAAGTGAAATCCTGAAGTGAAACTTCATCTTTTCTCCATTTATCATGATGTCCATTTGTGAGGACCATGTTATACCAGACCATTTAAATGCATTTTCTTATGCATTCTTCTCAATAATGTAATAAGACAAGTATTATCATCCCTGTTGTATAGAGGAGGAAACAGGCTTAGCAAGGTGAAGTGACTACCACACAGAAACTGGCCATGAAAGTCAGGTCTTCCTCTTCCTCACTCTCTTTTCTCCCTCTCTCTTTTTCTTTCTCCTCCTCCTTCTCTTCACACTCTGCTTCCCCCTTTTCTTTCTTCTTTTTCCTCCTGTGAAGATTGGATAAATGCATGTATTTAAAACATATGTAACACGATATTGTTGATGGGTGCCAACAAGTCAATTACAACTCATAGTGACCCCATGTGACAACATAGAACTGCCTCATACGGTTTCCTTGGCTATACTCTTTAGGGAAGCAGATTTCCAGGTCTTTTTCCCAGTTGGTTGAGTTCAAGTCACCAACCTTTCTGTTAGCAGCTAAGTACTTAACCTTTGCACCACCAGGGCTCCTAACACATAATATGTGCTGATGGTGGGATGGTCCTGCAAGTATTGGGTACTATGAAGAAAGACTTTTTTTTTTTTTTGAGACTAATGTACACATTTGTTTAAGCAATAATTGGTCCTCTGTCAATTTTTCATCTTCCTCTGCATTCTTCTTTTGCTTCTTGAACACACAAAGACCGTGAGGCTGTGGCCCTTGGTGATTTCATGACTCATTCGCTGTGATCTGTCTGTGCTCTCTAGGCTTTGCAGGAAGAAATTGCTATCTCTGGCTGCAAGATGAGGCTGAGCTACCTGAGCAGCCGTACCCCTGGCTATAAATCTGTCCTGAAGATCAGCCTCACCCATCCTACCATCCCCTTCAATCTCATGAAGGTCCACCTCATGGTGGCGGTTGAGGGTCGCCTCTTCAGGAAGTGGTTTGCTGCAGCCCCAGACCTGTCCTATTATTTCATCTGGGACAAGACCGATGTCTACAACCAGAAAGTGTTTGGGCTCTCAGAAGCCTTTGGTAAGTGGCCCAGCCTCAGGACTCAGCGCCATCTCAGAGAGAGAATAGCACTTGGCAGTGTGGGAGGGAGATGAGATTTTTTTCCCTTGGTTTCCTCCTCTTCTCACATCAAAAATAATTAAGGCTTTTTTGGCCTTTAGGACCTCTCAGTGACAATTCATGACCAAAAGTAATTTATTCAAAGAGCTGTATGTGGGATATTGACCATTAAAAAAGAAGGTTATCAAAAATAAATAAATAAATAAGTTTTTTCACAAATATTTGCATACGAATGTTCATAGTAGCACTACTCACAATAGCCAAAAGGTGGAAACATCCCCAATGCCCATCAACTAATGGACAGATAAAGAAAATGTGGCATATCCACACAATGGAATGTTATTTGGCCATAAAAAGGAATGAAGTGCTGATCCATGCTACAACATGGATGAAATTGAAAACATGCTAAGTGAAAGAAACCAGAACCAAAAAGTCATATATTGCGTGATTTCCAATTATGTGAAAAATCCAGAACACACAAATCTACAGAGATAGAAAGCAGATTAGTGGTTGCCAGGGGCTGAGGGTAGCAGGTGGGAATGGAGAGTGACTGCTTAATGGATGTGGAGTTTCCTTTGAGATGATGAAAATATTTTGGAACTAGTTAGAAAAGGTGGTAGTACAACATTGTGAACATACTAAATGGCAGTGAATTGTACAGTTTAATATGGTTAATATGGTGAATTTTATGTAATGTGAATTTTACCTCAACTTAAAAAGAAAAAATAAAAAAATAAACCCAAATGGCCCCTGCAAAGCAATGTGGTAGTATGTGTTATATTAGAAAAGACTAGGTGCCACAGATTGAACCATATCAGCATTGCCTTATGCTCCCCGTGGCCAGTGTGCCTCAACTTTCTCTTTAAAATATGGGGACCTGGAACTGCTAGAGCTCCTGGGCTTCTTCAGTTTTATTGAGATACAGGAATTAAAATTTTTTTCCTTTAATCAGCAATGCTTTTTGGCCTCTTTACCTCATTTCCAACCTGAGAGGCTGTGTTTTTGTTGTTGTTAGTGCTGTCCTTTTTTAAAGATGAAGTCAGATAGCTGTAGACTTACTTGAAGTCCCAGCCTCACTTAGACCTTGATCTTTCCAGGGCTGGATATGTTCACTCAGCTTCAGGATTAGAACAGAGTTCCAGCAAGTGTTCAGAGCTGGACTGGTAGTAATCCTAACCTCTATAGGGCTAATCCTCCAAATACTTAAGAGTAACATCCCAGAAAATTCCTTTCTATCATGAAACCCTACTCCAATTTATTCCCTTTCTAGATTCAGCAGAAGGCAGAGTGAGGAAGCAAGGGGGGTGCAAGGGGGGTGGTAATGGTGTATTAAAAACAAAAGAAAAATAAAGCATATTCACTGAACAAAGATAGAATGCAGATTAGTGGTTGCCAGGGGCTGAGGGTAGAGCACCTGCTCTAGATGACTTGCTCCCTGGTACATCTGAGTTAATCTTCACATTTATTCTGAGAGTCAAGAATTATTACCCTCACATTCTGCAAGGAGGAAACTGTGGCCCAGAGAAGTGAAAGTGACATCCCAAGGATACCTATCTAGGAAAGAACAGAGCTGGATTTATGCCAGATCTTCCCTATGGGCTTGAATTCCCACTATACTCAACAAGGGCACTTTAAGAGCAAAGATGTTATCTCCTCACTGCTCACAATCCATTCTGTAGATCCAACCACTTAATCACCTCTCAAAAAAAAAAAAAAAAAAAAGAAGAAGGCCTTATAACTACATCAGGTGAAATGAACATATTTATGCCCAAAGCTACCTGGTCAACTGACTAGAAGAGATCCATATTTGTACCCATTCCAAAGAAAGGTGATCCCACAGAATGTGGAAATTATTGAACAATATCATTAATATCACACACAAGTAAAATCTTACTGAAGATAATTCAAAAATGGTTGCAGCAATATATTGACATAGAACTTCCAGAAACACAAGCTGTCATTCAAACAGAACAAGGGGATACTGCATGGTATAAAATGAGAAAGAGAGTGTGTCAGAGTTGTATCTTTTCATCATACTTATTTAAACTGCATGCTGAGCAAATAATCCGAGAAGCTGGAGTATGTGAAGAAGAGTGTGGTATCAGAATTGGAGGAAGACTCATTAACAACCTGCGATATGCAGACAAGACAACTTTGCTTGCTGAAAGTAAGAACGACTGGATGCATTTACTGATGAAGATTCAAGACTTCAGTCTGCAGTATGGATTACATCTCAACATAAAGAAAATGAAAATCCTCACAACTGGACCAATAAGCAGCATTACAATGAAGGAAAGATTGAAGCTGTCAAATATTTCACATAACTGGGTTTCACAAACAACACCAATGGAAGCAGCAGTCAAGACATCAGATGACTTTTTGCACTGGGCAAATCTGCTGCAAAAGACCTTTTCAAGGAAGACATAGAGAGGTACATGGGAGATACAGAGAACAAAGATGAACCCTTTTGCACATATATTACTGTGTTGTCAGTGAAGGCAAACATTGACCTACAGGTGGATAGATGGGTGGACAGGCTGAACAATTGGGTATGTCTCTGCAGGGGGGAGTGTGCCCATGACGATATATAGGGTTGGTAGACAATGTTTCTACAAAGGTATTTGTATGTTCTGTAAGAATTCCCAGGTATATGGTAGAGCTGACAAGGGACAAGGTTGTAGTCACTTCTTGGCCACAGCCAGCTACCCAGAGGGAGTGAGTGGTTGGACCTGTGGGCTCAGGACCATAGTCGCAGTGGACATCAAGCTCAGTTGGCATAACATACTACACAAAAACATTCTTCCACATCCTATTTTAGCAAGTAGTGACTGGGATTTTATAAGCTTGTGAGTGGCCATCTAGATGCAATAATGGTTCTTTTCTCATCCAGAGCAAAGAAGAATGAAGAAAACCAAAGACACATGGAAACAATTAGTCCAAGGGACTGGTATACCATGCAGTCCTCAGCCTACACGACTATGAGACCAGAAGAAGTAGGTGGTGCCCGACTACCACTGTCAACCAGTCGGAGGGAGATCTATATAGGAGATTTTGGATAGAGTGGGAGAACAATGTGGAACAAAACTCAAAGTCATTTTATAGAAAAAGGGACCAGGTTTGCTGGTCTTATAGAGCCTGGTGAAACCACTGAGACTGTGACCCCTAGCTGCCTTTCAGGTCTGGAATTGAACCCACTCCAAGTGAAAGACAGACATGTGATCTGAATATGTACATTAGGTAGATACACTCCTTGGGGAGATCAATTATGGGAGAATAGAAGGGCTATATATGCACAGGGAGACAGCTTGGAAGACAGGAGTGCATAGGAGTTTAGGACACTGGGAAGAGGTAACTAAGGAGAGGAAGTAAGAAGGAAGCTGTTGCATTGTGGGAAATTGCAGTCAATGTCATCTGACAAAGTGTATGTGAGCCATGTATGGAAAGTGAATTTGCTCTGTAAACTTTCACCCAAATCACAATACAAATTCTATTAAAAAAAAAAAAAGACCTTTTTAAAGTGCTGAAAAGCAAAGATATCTCTTTGAAGACTAAGGTGTACCTAACCCAAGCCATGGTAATTTCAATCGCCTCAGATGCAGGTGAAAGCTGGAAAACGAATTAAGGAAGACTGAACAAGAGTTGATGCTTTTGAGTTGTGGTGTTAGCAAAAATTATGAAAGTACCATGGACTGCCAAAAGAACTAACAAATCTATCTTGGGAGAAGTGCAGCCAGCATGCACCTTGGAAGCGAACATGGCCAGACTTCGTCTCACCTACTTTGGTCATGTTGTCAGAAGGGACTATTGAAGTCTATTCCCTGGAAAAGAATATCATACTTGTTAAAGTGGAGGGTCAATGAAAAAGGGGAAGGCCCTCAACAAGATGGATTGACACAGTGGCTGCAACAATGAACTCAGGTATGCCAAGGATTATGAGGCTGGCACAGGACTGGGTAGTGTTTCATTCTGCTGTACAAAGGGTTGCTATAATTCGGAGCTGACTCAACAGCACCTAACAACAACATAACAACATGCCCACTAATGAGTTAAAAAGGGAAATGTCTCCACTATAAGACTTCAATGGCTCAGGCCCACTTTCCCAAGATCACCAGGGGATAACCAGGGGAGACATGGTGTTGCTAAAGGGTCTTACAGTCACCAGGACATCTTCTAGCCACATTCCACTCCTGCCATAGATGGTCAGCAATCCTCTATGGCATTTGAAAGAGTTTTAAAGGGCTGCTCAATTGTTAATTCTTATCTTGAACACATGGTAGGATATTGCTCACTGGAACACAGTGCCTGCACAGAAAAGATACTTTGAAGGCATAGCAAGCACTCCTGTCTCTGCTGGATCTCTCCATAGGTCAGTTGCAGGTCTCTATAAAGCCCAGACTTAGGCCACTGCCATGTTTAGCCTACTAAGAAGGCCTTGATTCATTAAACAAAATGAAACCAGACTTCCAAAAATTGAGACTTCAGAGTAACTTCTACATTTACAAGTACCCCAAACTGAGCTCCTCCTTCTCTGTGTATTCATTATAAATTATTTTAGAATGTTTGTCCTTTATAAAATACTTAAATATTAAATAATTAATGAAAATTTGATAAATGAATAAAAAATAGGAAAAAAGTCATACATGTTTCTAGACCAAATAACATTTTATTTTCTTTTTTTATACTTAGTGTTTTCAAAACAGGTCCTATATATAATCAGCATTTTCAACATAGCATTATTCCATAAGTATTTTCCATGTCACCTTATGATCTTCATAACCATAATGTCCATTCCTGGAATGGAGAAAAAAAAAATATATATATATATATATATATATATATTTTTTTTTTTTCCCTTTGGTTTACTTAACTTCTCACCTCTTTTGAACCTTCAAATTACTTCCAATTTTCCACTATTCTAAATAATGTTGCATGACTGGGTCTGAAAAGCTTGTGAGTGGCCCTCTAAGATGCAACAACTGGTCTCTCCCCCTCTGGAGCAAAGAAGAGTCAGAGAGATCAAAGATGCAAGGAAACAGTCCAAAGGGCTAATGGACCGTGCAAACGCCAGCATCCATGACCTTCAGACCAGAAGAACTAGATGGTGGCTGACGACCACAACCCACCTCTCTGAAGAGGATCACAATAAGAGGTCCCAAATAGAGTGGGGAGAAATGTGGAACAAAGCTCAAAAAAAAAAGAAGGCTTATTGGTCTGGTAGAGACTGGTGGAATCCCCAAGACTATGGTCCTTAAACACCCTTCAAACCTGGAACTGAACTCATCTCTATGGCTCAGCTTTCAGCCAAATGATACACAATCCTATTATGTGAACAGTAGCCCTGACAGGTATGCAGTCCTTAGAACAATCAACCATTTGAGATCAAAAGGGCAGCATTTGCCCAGGGATAAAGCTCAGAAGTCAGGAAAGGGTAGGAAAGAAGGACAAGTGGAAATGGTAACCACGGGGAAGACGTGGGAAGAGTGCTGTTACTTGTGGGGATTGCAGTTAATGTCACATACACACACAAAAAAAAGTGTATGAATAGTTGGATGGAAAACCAATTTGCCCTATAAACTTTCACCCAAATCACAGTAAAAAGTTAAAAACACTAAAAGGAAAATAAATAATTCAGTAAAAACTTTTTTCATCAAGTATTTTCCATACTAAAGATTATTTCCCTAGAATAAATTCACATGGGCCATTTTTAAGTATTTTAACATTTTTAATAACATACAGTCTTTAAAAAAAAGGATATTAAGGCTTGGACTCTATATGTTAATATTTCCCATAGGTCTGGTTTCCACTTAGAAAGACATCTCCTTTTTCTTCTTTCACAAAAGACAAGCAGGGGGCCTTGCTTGCAAGACTAAAGGCCAAAGATGAGGCTCTGCTCACCTTTGCATTTTGCTGCTTTTATAACCTACAGTTTCCGTGGGTTATGAGTATGAATCCTGCCCAGATCTAATCCTGTGGGAAAAAAGAACAGCGGTACTGCAGGGCTATGAAATCGATGCTTCCAAGCTTGGAGGATGGAGTCTGGACAAACATCATGCCCTCAACATCCAAAGTGGTGAGTAGAATAATAGAATTCCCTGAACAGGCCAGGGGTGTGATGAGCACATGGCTCCATAGAAATGCACACTTCAAAGTAATTAGGCCCATATGATCAGTCAGTGAGTCAGAAAGAAGGGCCAGTCAACAAATGTTCTTGGGTTTATTCCCCCTCTATGTCTGTCACTGTACTATCCTCCAGGATGCAGAAATGAAAGGCCTCCAGAGTTTACACTGTGATCAGATACAAACACATACCAGGCATTTTCAGTGCTGTGGCATGGACTGTGCATTCACAGAGGGAAGCACAGGACACTGTGGGGTCACAGAAGAGGAACATAGTGAATCAAGTAGGAAGAACAGTCTAGGCCAATATTATAGCATGTGCCAAAGTGTTGGGGCCTGCAAGAAAAGAGTAGCTGGAGAGAGAGTTCATTGTGGCTTGAGCAAAGGGTGAAACAAGGGATAGTGTTCTGGTTACCTAGTGCCACTCTAACAAGAATATACCACAAATGGCATGGCTTAAACAAATAGTTTATTCTCTTACAGTTCAGAGGCTTTAAGTCCAAGTTCAAAGTGCCAGGCTCTGGGGGCTGGGAGAAAGCCCCTCAACCTTGGGCTTCAGCTCTGCCTCCTGTTCCTGGCCCACTGAAGCTGGAAGGTTTTCTTCACTCAGCTACTGGCTCCTGAGGCTGACAAGCCCAAAGTTGACAAGTAATAAGGCACAGTTCCGATATTACCAAACCACATGGCAGGCCACTAATTCAAGTCCATTAAAAATCCCAAGATCAGCAAAGCATGGCAGGCTGCTGAACAACAACTCAGCTATATGCAGGGTTCAAGCGTGCCATAAGCTAGACCACATCCCTAAAGCAGATACTCAGCTTCTTGTGGTAGATCCCACCTTGGAGTTGATTGCCAGTCTCATATGGGGAATAACTACCACCAGCTACCAAGCCACTCAACCAGGCCCAGCCAAGTTGACAAACAGACTTAACCACCACAGAGAGCAAAAGCTGAAGCCAGAGGCTTGGGCAGCTGACACTTAGGGTAAGAAGGTTAAGACTTCCGACTTCATCTAGGGCAAATGTCATGCCTTGAGAGGTTTAAAACATGCAAGTGACATGATCGCATTTTTATTTTTGATGACTTTCTGACCATGTCCTGGGATGGGATAACTAACTTGGTAGCTATATCAAATATCTCCTGCTAAATCTATAAATGCAGTGAAAGTCCTATCAAAGCTGTAGGATGTTTGGGGAAAATCAACAAAATAATTCTAAAATTTATGATTGAATACTGATTTATAAGTGGCTAGGACAGAGCTCTGGTAGCATAGTGCCTAAGGTGCTTGACTGCTAACCAGAAGGCTGGCGGTTCAAACCCACCAGCCACTCCTGGGAAGGAAGGTTGGGCAATCCTACTTCCGTAGTGATACTGCCTCGGAAACCCAAGGAGGGGTCGCTATGAGTCGGGGCCGACTCGACAGCACATAACAACAACAACAACAACCACTTATATGTCATTAGCCAGAACTTAATCACATCCCATATGTAGCTGCATGAAGGATGGGGAATGTAGTTAGTTCCAGGTAGTCATGCGCCCAGCTAAACACCAGGGCTTCCACTCAACAAAAGACAGTTTCTATAAAGCTAAAGGTGACAGCCTGGGAGAAGAATCTTGTGGCATATAAAAACAAAAGCTCACTCAGGCTTCAGTATAGAGAAGGGATTGGAAGGGGTAAGGTGGGAGGCAGGGAATCCAATTAGGAGGTTGTGGCAATAATTTAGGAGAGAAAAAGATGATTAACACCTGAAAAGAAACAGTACAAATACAGGAAGAAGCTTACAAACTATTGAGGTCAATGCCTTCATTTGGTTGCTGGAGAAACTGAGGCTCAAGAGCAGTTAAGCAGTTGAAGAGACCCACTCAAGATCCAGGAAAAGTCCATTTTAGCAAAACCATGTTTTTTTTTTTTTTAAAAAAAAAGATATATTCACTGTCCCTTGGTGAGAAGAGACTGTGAAGTTCATTTATTTATTTCTATAAATATGTATTGGTATCTACTCTATGTTAGGTTCTGTGTAAGTCAGAAAGGGAAAAGGCATGGTCTCTATGCTTGAAATGATACCAGTCTAAACAGAGAGAAACAAATAAGTACAATGAAGAATTCATGCTCTAATAGAGATATGGACTAGGTATGTGATATGTACAACCTAGTTGAGGGACAGTGTAGCTTAATGGTTAAGGGTCTAGACTCTGAAGCTCTCCCAGTCACCACTGTGTGACCTTATTTGTTCCCATATATTAAATAGGCATAATAATAGAACCTCTTACAGAGTTGTTGTGATAGTTAAAACAGTAAAACAGTATGACCTGTTCAGGACACTTGGTTTCATATGGGGGTGGGTACAGCCTTGAGAGATGAGTCTGGAAATGGCAGGCAGAGATCTCATGCTTTGCAAAATCAAGGTGACTCTGTGGTCAGCTACAGATGAGACCCATTTCCTGTACCACAGGTGAATCCGTTCTTGTCTTTGTCCCAGGCATCCTGCACAAAGGGAATGGGGAGAACCAGTTTGTGTCCCAGCAGCCACCCGTCATTGGAAGCATCATGGGCAATGGACGCCGGAGAAGCATCTCCTGCCCCAGCTGCAATGGCCTTGCTGATGGCAACAAACTCCTGGCCCCTGTGGCCCTCACATGTGGTTCTGATGGGAGCCTCTATGTTGGTGATTTCAACTACATTAGGAGGATCTTCCCCTCTGGCAATGTCACCAACATTCTGGAGTTGAGGTATGTAAGGCACTACCTTCCTCACAATTCCTAATAGCATTCCTTTGCCATCCTATGGACCCAACAGACATTACCCACTGGCCCCTGGGAAGTGGGGCAGGACAGAGCCTCACCTGCCAGACTCTGAGACTCTCACTTCCCAGTTCAGAGGCTACACTCAATGCAAAGGGGTGTGGGGAAGCAGACACTTCTTCCCACAGGGCACTACAATGAAAACCAAGTTACTTTTGGGACAGGGAGATGTCCTTGGTGGCCAGATGATGTGGGTAGGCTGCTAAACCAGGAATTAGACTCCTTGGAAGCCATTGAATCTTCTTATTGTTTGCTAGCACCAAACTGATTGGAATTAGTCATATGACTGTTTTTTATAAGGACAAAGGATAGCATAATGAATGAGACCCCATAGTAGTGTTATCGTATTCGTTCGTTACTTCATATTTGTTAAGTGTGTTGACCCCTAATGAGATAAGGCCCATGGGCTAAAATCAGGTAGTGCCTCTCTGATCTTAAGGTGCTGCTGAGCCAGCTGCAGCAGCCTTTGATTTCTCTCCCCATCCTGACCATGAGTGACTGAAGCACAGCCTTACCTTAGTTCAGGGAAGGGCCTGACATGTTGGCTTTTCTCTGTGCCTCCCTAAGCCAGGTCTCACTAGAACTGGAATACCAGGGTTATGGAAAAACTGTGCTTTGCATGAGAGAAAGAAGGGCTGCTCAGGCACAGGCAGACAGCTCAGGGGGTAGGAGTGCATGGAGAGATGGACACAGGGAAGAGGTAACTATCGGGAGGAAGTGGGAGGGGAGATGTTGCATTGTGCTAAATTGTGGTCAATGTCACGAGACAAAGTGTATGTGAACTGCTGTATGGAAAGTGTATTTGCTCTGTAAATTTTCACCCAAATCACAATTTAAAAAAAAAAACAAAACTGTGCTTTGGAGATAGGGAAACTCTACTCTCCCTTTTAGAAGAAACTGTACCAAGTTCCCTCGCAGCTATTTTAGGGACTGATATCCAAAGTCTCCTCAGTGGGGGTTCATGTGAGCAGAACAGCCCCTTGAGCTGGAAGGTCTTTCTCCAATGTGAGCAGGGGAAAAGGAGACTCACTTTTGCTGGGCTCCTACTATTTGCCAGAACAGTTCTGTGAGGTATTTATTATTATCTCTTTGGATGAATGAAAAAAAGGAGGCTCAGGGAATCAAAAGAACCTGCCCAAAGTTCTACTTCTAAAATGGCAGACACAAATCCAAATAACAAAGTCACAGCTCTGCCTCATCAAGGAATTGTCACTTGGCCCTATGAAAGCTGCTGAATTATGTCTTATAAGTTATTCCCTGGAGGTAAGTACCTGCTGAAGGAACCTCACCCTGCAGTATACATGTGAATGGAGGGTAAGACTTGCTGGCTGACCAAGAGCCATCATGGCCCTAAAAGGAAGTGTTTGTATTCACCGACATGCACAGGGACAAATGCCTGTGGACAAAGATGTCTTTGACCATGAGAAGAATCAGAAGCTCATATGTTGTGGCCTCATAGGAAAACAGCTGTCAGGTTCATTGATACCTGGGCCACCAATGGAATATTCTCTGCTTTGCTTCTCTCTTTTATGTGTTTGATTGATATCAATATCTGTTGGGGTAGAAGGAAGCCTTGAATGTATTTGCCTCAGTCAGCTGCTCCTATTGTCTTCCCATTTCCTGTACTATGATGTCCTGTGCATGGCCTAGGAGGTCAGCTGGCCTTGTCAGAGAAGCTGGGCAACTTGGAACAAGTAGCTTAACCTCTCTGGGCCTCCATTTTCAAATAAAAGATCCCATTTTCCCTGCCTATTGGGGAGATACAGGGATACAGGTGAGGAGAGACAACTCAGGGACGCCCAAAGCAGCAGGCCAGAAGAGCAGGAGAAAGGGGATTAAAA